TAAAAACGTTTGTGCACATTTTAAATTAAGTTCATCTAGTATTATAGGGACAATTCTTCCTAACTTTCCTCGTATACAAAATCGCACGTATTTTTGTGCCTGTTCTTTTTGATCTTTAGATAATCCATTGAATGTGTCAAAATTTTCATTAATTCTTTCGTAATTTTCAAAATCAGAAATTAAAATTCTTTCAGTTTCTCCAGGACGACGACGGTTAAATAATTGTATTGACGATAAAGTAGCTTCTCCAAGAGAAGTCCAGGCAGACAATGAAAAATTTTTCTGCAAATCATTATACGACTTTTTTTGCACTTCTAGAAGATGATTCCGCAATTTTTGTATATCATTCATTGTAGGAAGCTTTGTAATTTTTTGTCTTTTAAATTGAGTTTGAGACTCAACTACAGTTTTATTAACGCTTGCTCCATAATCAACAGTTAAGAGTTTTAAAAAATTTTCCGTATTCGTTTTTGTACTATTGTTATGCTCTTTTATGCATTTTGTTATTAAAATTTCACCAATATGCTTCACATAAGTACCAAGATTAGGTGCAACGGCAGGTTTATCATAAGTATCCTTTTCTTCATTATATTGTGCAACAATATTAATGGCATCTATGAAAGTATCATAATATTTTGGGTGGTACATAGAAGTCAAAGATGTTATATCATTATTAATATTTCTCATCGCTTTCAACAAGCGACTTACAAGTCGCAATCGTGCCCTAATCATTTGTAAATGATGCGAGGAATGCCTATACTTTTTACATTGAGAATTTGCATATAATAACAGTAAGATATCGTAACGAATATTATATGTTATTTCATCATTTCTCATTGCTGGTAATACTAATCGCCGTACTCTTTCATCAGCCTCTTTGAGACATTTGCCCTCTAATCTCCGGCCCATTACTTTAACAATGTGACTTTTATCTCCTCTCCGGTTTGTACAATTTTTGAAGTGATGTCTTAGTGTCGACTTCAGATAATGACCTTTGCAATTCCCACATGCCAGATAATTTTTAAGAATTTTAGGATAATTTTCTCTTGCTCTCCTAGTTGGAATAAAACCTTGGCCTTCATATTGTTTTTCAATGTTAAATTTGAAATTTCCTTTTTTTCTTAATAAATCAATGATTTTTCTTCTTTCGCTACAACCTTTAGGTAAATATTTGAATTTTTGAACTTCAGGTTCATTAGAATGAACTAATTCTAAATGTCGAGCAATTTTTGTTTGCATTTTATGACAGAATACACACATATATTTTTTTATGCCAGTAACTTTTGTAGGTATTATTGTTTGTTCATCTTGCCGGGTTTCACATTGTCCAATATTACTGACATCCATGCCAGTAAATGACGTCGAATTATTTTTTATATTAGAATGACGTTGTGCACATTTGTTATTATTTGGAACTACTGATTCTTCTTTTTCTTCTAAATCACTCGTAACTGACGAACATTCACTTTGTACGTAATCAGGATCACTGTTAATATCCTGTTCTGTGTCTATAAAAAATAAAATAAAATAAAATAAAATAAAATAAAAAATAAAAAATTTATATATACAGGGTGTCTCACACTCTCCTTCGGGCATTTTGTGGGGACGTAGAATGGGTTGATGTGAACATAAAAGTCCTATACCGTTTTGCGATATTCGCAATAATTATTGAGATATTAATTGTAGAAAACTTGTAAATGATCATGCAGAATATGGTAAATGAGTTATAGTAGCGACGACTGCCGTCGTGTATTTATACTTTAAAATTGAACAAAAAAGTCCTCTACCATTTTCCAAATAATCACATAGATTTTTAATTATTAATTAAAGAAGATTATTGCACGATTTTGCGTGATAATGCACTCATCTTCTTTAATTAATAATTAAGAATCTAAGTGATTATTTGCAAAATGGTAGAGGACTTTTTTGTTCAATTTGATCTAAAGTATAAGTACACGACGGCAGTCGTCGCTATTATAACTCATTTACCATATCCTGCATGATCATTCACAAAGTTTCTACAATTAATATCTCGATAATTATTGCGAATATCGCAAAACGGTATAGGACTTTTATGTTCACATCAATCCATTCTACGTCCCCACAAAATGCCCGGAGGAGAGTGTGAGACACCCTGTATACATATATATACATAATGGTATATATATCCGTATTCAGAACGCGCTTACAAAGATGTTAGCCCGATAACAAGTCGAGTACAGTCAATCAGAAGTGATTTATCTTTTGATTGGCTATATTCGACTTGTCATTGCGCTAAAATCTTTATAAATGCGTTCTGAATACAAGTCAAAAAATTATATAAGTCTAGAAAATAATCATGCAAGTAAAAATAACAAATAATCTGACTTTAATACCTTGTATTTCGGTAACATTCTCTTGCACAGGACACAAATCATTCACATTGTATATCGTATTTTCTTCAGATTTGCAAGAAGTTGAAGGAAGTTGTATTTCGATGTTATCCAGTATTGAATTGAAAGATATATCTACAATGTAAAAAGTCATTTATATTTGTCATTGTAACATAAAAGTAATTTATATTAACTAAATAATTAATTAGTGATTAAAAATATATAAATATAGCAATCATATATACAGGGTGTCCCATTTTACAGTTTCCACTAAAATATCTTTTAATGGGCGGCATTTTCGACAAAATGTTTCAAACAAAAGTTGTAGGGTTTCAGAAGATCTATCTAACGGCTATATCAGTTTTGATCTCGAGTGGCGCTACCAAGGTCTGGCCGGGGATATATATATATCCCAGAAAACACAGATATATAACAGTTACATTGCCGTAATGAAACGGAATGTAACATGCAATATAACATGTATGTAGTAGGTTATATAGATGTTTGTTGTAATTTCCTATTCACACGTGTTACAGTTATATAACGTGAATATAACATAAAAGTAACATGTGACTAAAAAGTTATATAAAAGTTATATGTTATTTGTTAGCAAATTAACACATATATTTTTTTGTTGAATTCCAACGATTTATTCATTAGTATGGTTCAGATAAGTGATAATGTATGATTATTTTGTTTAAATAATAAAAAAAAACTGACATTTTATATTCCGTATTATTTCAATTATTCGTGAAACTCGCGTGGTTTCGATCCTATGTCAGGCGGGCACCCATTTTTAGATCATGTTGTTCAATGCTTAACTTCAATGATCGTCCGGGAACTGGTGATGCTGATGCGCCGTAACGATATCTCTCTCTTGATAGATAATATTTACAATATGCTCTTATATCGTTCAAAAAATGTTATGACACATTTGTTGGTAAATGTTTGACACGACAATCACAATATGATTAATATTGATACAATGTTGTATCAGTAATCAAATTTTAACCTACAACTCGCAAAAGAGAGAGAATATTCCTTCTTTCTCTCTCACAATACTTTGACAGAGTAAGGTTATGATTAGACTCTTTGTAAGAACTCTAGTTTTGCAATATCGTGATAGCAATCCTTGCATAT